AAAAACGATTCGAGACCTTCTCTTTGCAAATGTTCTTATTCCTGATTTTAGCATATGATATTATTTTATTTATTGGCACCTTTAAGGCAAACAGAATGTACAATTTTTGTTGTTGTTGTCCTTTAAACAGGATTTTATCTCGCATAATATTAATAGACATAAAAGATCGGATTAATCGGTTAAATTATATTAAAATGTGACTCAATCATCGCCGAGGTAGCGGTCGATGAGCGCCTTATAGAAGTTTTTATATTTATTATTTAGGATGATATGCTTTAATATTATAATACTTAGAAAATTTATGCGTCAATATAATTAGGACAAATAAAAGTAGATATGTCATGTTATTCCTTATATGTAAACAGAATCAAACAATTGAGATATTTCAAAATAGAAAGTCAAAATCAATATTTTAATAATTCGCACTGGCGTTGAGATTACATGGCAAAAAACGTACTCTATTATAGTATTTCAACTTCACGTCAAAAAAAAATGTATAACGTTATCTATGTTTGAGGATGTACGTATAACCTTCTTAATAATAGGTTTAAATACAAGTTCTTTCTTACCTAATGCCGGGTAATCGTTGATACTTATTGGATACCCGATTGCCCACATACCTACAGACAAATATGATAACAGCTTACTGGTGATATAGCCGATCATATTGAAGCCGGGCACGTTTCGAAACTCCGCCATAGAGCTGTACACCACTAATGTTATTATTAAAAATATCACCGTTATTGATTCTAGCTGAAAAACAAAGTTATTATGAAATAAGCAAATTAATACTCAACATAATACCTTTAAAAGGGATTTGTAAAGGCAACATTGGAAAAAAATATAAAAATATCTTGATACTTGTATTAATTCAATATAATTTCGTTATAAAAACTAAAATTATGTTATAGTTCTACTCTAAAATTAATTTGTATTTTAAACATATCTCAAAGCTTTTCACTGAATTTCATTAGGTTTAGTTAGATGTCTACTGAAATAGTTAACAGAATAGGCCAAGTTTGGTCTTGTATTTGCCGTTTGCATTGCCTTTCATACTTCATATCAACAGTTATAAGCTTTAAATCTGAAATTCATATCCAATGGATCCACACCTTTGCAATCTTTCATACAAAATAAAAATAAGATCAGTATGTCTTGATATTGTAATACATCTTTCATTCTGAATTGAGTATTAAAGAAACTTTTTACTTTATTCATCTCACTAATAAATTTCCTACAATCAATTGTGCCGGGGAACTCAAAATGTTAAATAAGACAGATACAGAACAGACAGATAGACAATTTATTAACAATTATAACTAACATTATTTTATAACTACCAAAAAATTTGCAAATTTCATTAAGATGACTATTACACTATGTAAATAAATTCCTCCATTACTGGGTTACCGATTTACTCAGAACTCTACATACAACAAAAAAAAAATTAACAGCTATTAATAAATATTTCGAACTTAAAATGAAATGCAAAGTTCATCCAAATTTTCTGACAGATGAGGCACAGCTGATGACATGATGAGCTTAGGGATTCAACGATACCACGTAGGAATCGATACTTTTAATCGATACCTACTTGTATCAAATAGTTTTAAAATGCCTCACAAACGTCATTATTTTTACAGTTTTTTCAGAGTAGATTTGATACTGTTAATAACTTGTTAATAGCTCTACTCTGTATAATGAAAGAGAGAAGTAGGTCTAAATATAAAAAGCGACGCATATAGGTATAATGTATTTAGCTAGGTATTCTTTCAAATTTTGTTGGCTCTATATAGATCTCTAACTGCATAAAATAAGTAGGGGTTAGTAATGATTAGTCATACAGTGACAAGGCAGCGTCCCTGTCGCCTTTTTCATATGATAGACTTTAGTTCCCTAACATAGAGTAAACAGATTAATGCTCGCGAGTTTTTGATACTCCTCAGTGACTGACTGACCAAATACCGATACAAACACTTACTTTCTTACTTCACGATACTACTACTCCGTTTTAAAGTATCGATGCCATAAGTACTTGATTTCGATAGAAAAATATCGAGTAAGTACTTATATTTACTCGTATCGATCATCCCTAGAAGAGCTGACATAAAGAAACGCGCTTGGCGCGTTTTATTAGTACGATGATTTGTTCGTTTTTCGTTGAAATAAAACATTGTGTTTATCAAAAGTATGAAATTTTAAATCATTTCTTATATTTTATTGATATGAATAAAATATTTTTATCCATTAGTCGAAATAGGCGAATTAATTACAATCATACGAAATCGTAAAGATTATTTCACAACTTTAAAAAACAAAAATAAATGAATTATCTATGACATTCTGTATCATTCAAATCGTCATTCGTTCCGAAAGCAATTGTGACTTTAAAAGTAACAGAATTCCATAAATCACTATCACAATCACTACACGTTTGAAAATAATTGTGATAGATTAAAAAATTAGACAATTAGGCCACGGGGCTTGCAGGTTCGGTTGACGATGCGCGAGCGCACGAACAATAGGTTTAACATACAAGCGCTTTGTTGTTAATGAAGACTTTGCCTTGGAATTTATTTATTATTAAATTTTATTGAAATACTTGTTTTCTTTTGATTTAGTTTCGAATTGTTATTATTTAATTATAAGATAGTTAAGTTTATTTTGTACATACACGTATTATATTTTGATTCATTGTTCTTTTTTTGTTGTTGTTAGATTAGGATTAAATAATTATGACTTTAGTAATTTTAAAACTGTAACTGTTGTTAATGAAGGGTTAAGTAAACCGTCACACAATAAATCGTCTCCATACAATAGAACATATAACTCGATTTTAGTATACAAACAATAATCATTCGTTTAAATCCACAAATCGACATTGTATGAGATAATCGTTTATACCAGTATTTCGGTGACTTTTTAGTCCATACAAATATCTCTCTAAATTCAAAACACACATGTCATTCCCGTTCTTATCATATTAATTTAGTGATTTCAAATCAACTTCTTTAACTTTCTTAAAGAAAAACTACTTTCACATCTATTTGATTACTCTAATAGTTCTTTTTCACGGCGACTGCCATTAATCGACATTATTAAGGTTTGAATTTTCAATACTACCATCTTCTATGTATATGTTCTTTATGTTGACATCCTAATACTACTCATGGTATATGTATTTGTTGTTCTTTTAATTTCTTCTTTGTAAACATCAATTTTGCATCAATAAATTTAATTTTCTCTTGCAGTTATTAGGGTTATTCTTCTGTCTTGCAAATTGTTGAACCTATGATTCTCCAATTGCTATACTATACTTAGAGATTTTTAGGAGGTAATAAAAAGTTCCTCTTATTTGTACTATGCAAGTCGAGTAAATCCCGCTGACTTAAGGTAAGATTTAACGTGGTTCATCATTTAAATTTGATATTTTTACCAGTTATTTCTGTAATAAAGAAGTTTTTTTTTTTTGAAATTCTGGTCACTATGTCATTCACAATAGTAGTATAATAACTAACACTGTTTTCTACAGAATACATATTTTTCAATCTTTGTATTCCATAACGTCATTTTCCTGACACATTGTTTTCCAACCCTGCAAGGGCTTGTAGATATATATAAGATAGAGACAAATAGATATATTGTATTCCAAGCATGCCATAAAAATGAGAATATCATCATTTTTGGACTGTTTGCGTTTTCGTGTGTAACTTGGAGTTAAGTCAAAAAATATATTTTAACCTTTATCGCAGAATGTGTGAAGAACGAAACGCTGTTCGCTGTCATGGAAATAAAATGAGATGCAAAATTAAGATATCAATAGAAATTCATTTTCATTTTACATATAGATATTAATTTATTCACTTGACATTGGCAGAATTGTGCGAAATGCGCAGATAAGCCATTAATAAACGAAAATAAAGATATCAATAGTTACATTAATGACCGCTGTTTCATAATGCTACTGTACTTCGTTATGTTCGAGATTATATTATTCAATTTAGAAAACCATTGTCGCACGGCCCCTCTCAAAGCTAACAGAAGGCGTATTGCTTATTTATTAACAAAGCTTTATATATTTTAAGTATCTCTTAATATATATCCTACTTAATTACTCACCATAAGAGTCAATTTCCTAGGACCTTCTGGACACGTAAGCGCCACTACTTCAGTTTTTCCGGTACTTGTGTTAAAGGAATCCAAGCAGTATTCATCAGTTAAGCCTACACGTGATTGAAGCAACCCGTTCATATTGAGGAAGTGCCAGTCTACTGTCAATGAGGAGTTTAACATCTGTAGCGGAGTCCTTTCATCGCTACATTCTAATGATGCCCGGATACCCATCACATCTATAAAAATTGAACCATTTCAAGAACGTTTAATGTACAGATGTATTTACTATGTAGCCATTTTGTATCCTTTGCAGGTTCCGTGATCACTAGGTTAAAATACATGGAACCTCGACAGTTACAAACATTTCGTGAGCTGATGGTACGCGTTTAAATTATTTCTGAACATCTACCTTCATCGTTAAGCTGACATCGCCACTTAAGCCATTTGATGCAATTTGCCGACTAATGTATGTGTCGCAGTAAGATAGAAATAGCCGTAGTATAGTTATATCTTTAGGATTATAATAATGGACAAGTAACAGCAACGAACCATTTAACAGACACTATACAATATACAGTGCTTCCTGACAGAATTAACATTATTTAAAGTTATAAAAATGCTCATGTTATAGAAATATTATTTTGATGGTATTAAAATAAGTTTAGTAAATGTGTAAATACCTCAACTCAAGTTTCTGGACTATGAAAGCTGTCAAATGAATAGAACAAACTACGGTTTCTAACGTAAACTTCAAAATTGTGAAACAACTCATTTATATAAAAATCGATCTTTGATCAAGTGGGACTGCGAAAAAAAACAGCAAAAATGACACATATGTTGGGGGCATGCCTCTTAAATATTATTTTTTTCTTAGTATTTGTTGTTTTAGCGGCAACATAAAACATCATTTGTGAAAATTTCAACTGTTCACAAATATCACGGTTCATTAGATACCGCCCGGTGACAGACGGACAGACAGCGAAGTCTTATTATAAGGTCCCGTTTTAGCCTTGGTGTAAGGGACCCTAAAAATAAATTTTCATATTAAACTATTCCAACTCAACTCCATAACTAACGATCAACGAAAGTTTTCGCGATTTGTAGGGATTCATGTAGATTCATATTGAATTGCGGTTACTGCCTAAAAATATGTTCCTTTTATATCAATGAGTTATATTAAAATGAATAGTATTTTAATTCTAAAAATCATAATTAGTTCTATAGAACTTACAAAAAACAATAACTTATTTAAATGTTCAAGTAAATCACTTTTATGAGAACTATGAAGATATGTGTTTTTTTTATATATAGACACACCAACAGTCACGGGTGTGTCGGATAACAAGGGTGCCGGATTAGACATGGTCCGTATTACCGCGGGTCTTCCGTTTTGACGCTTATGCTTAGAGTATTAAACTTAAAGCACTTAGCCTCAATTTATCATTCTTTGTCTAAAACTGATCCAAAATCTGATTCAAAACTTCAAAATAAACTATATTTCCACAAAACAAATTGGATTGCAGTGTCTTAAATAAATACATTGAAAATATAAAAAAAGAGGTATCGCAACTTCCTAGACACCCGAATCAATATTTGTAAAGATATATTATAAAAAAAAACGTATTAAATAATATAAAACTTAGATTGCAATAAAAATAGGAAGACATCAATATTCACCCCCAATATCACCCTTCTTTCTTCTTAAAGGTTCTATGTATGATGATAGGTTAAATAAGAATCTATCATCCGAATTCTGCGTACAAGAAAAGCTTCTGGTGTCATATCTTGATATATGCTCTCCTATGGGACAACACTTTCTCATACAATAAGCATTAAATTCAAAGCAATCACGGGTACAGACTCTTGCCAAGAGCCGCCGGCTCATATAATCCTGATCTACACACCAACTCCCCCACTTTATGTAATATTCATCATCTCCATTTTCTGTAGTAATTCGAAGGGCCCTCTTAATTAAAGCTAGTCTATAAATGCCTTCCTTTATTTCTACGGAATACTCATCTCGACTACAATTCATCATATTTGCAATAAAGAAAATATCAGAGATGTTTAGCCTTAATTGTCTTATGAGCCATTCTTCTTTAAATTCATGACTTTTTCTACATAAATGATATTCGCTATCATAAACTTGGTCCCTTGGACAACATTTGACGATACTTTGTACTTTTAACTTATTTCGAGACATGAATTCGAATCCATCACATTTCAACATTGTAATACTTAGATTACTTGAACGTATAATCATACCATTATTGATTTCAGTTATAATTCTATCATAACAAATATCTCTGTCTGTCGATGCATTGAAGTATTCTCCGAACTGCTCGATAGCACTGAAGTTGCATTTTTGAGGTATACCATTGTCTATGATTACATTTTGGTTCACCACAAGATCTGAATTCAGACTAACTTCTTTGTATTCACTTAAATGACGATCGTAGTCAATACATTCATATTTGTCTCGCGAGTTCTTATCTAAACTTGATAATTTTATAAGACTTTGATTTTTTGGACAACATTTCCGAAAAACTTTAAATTGAGCAACACTGACAATTATAGAAAACACGCACACTATTGTAATATAACGCATGGCTCATGGAATTCCAAATTAAGAAAAAATAAGGAACTTTTAAGAAGATTATACAGGTTGGCGTCCTAGCAACTAATGGACGAGCGCGAAATATGAACAATAAGAACCGATAGACTTCGCAAGAACAGGCTTTTATATCCTTGAGGCCATACTTAGCATTCAAATTATTATTGTTATGAACAAGTTCTAAAAAATGATGAATTCTACTAATTTTATATATGAATAATTAAGTTACACCTTAGTTTTGGCTGTTTTACTAACGTTTTATAGGCGTAACGTTACTACTATATTGTTCATTTTTTATTTTATTATAAGTACTAAGTTATTGTAGTAACGAAACGGCCAAGCTATATATTTTGATTCGGTAATAGTGCTTGTAGAGGACCTATAGGTCATGTAGAGTTAGAAAATTAGCTGTACATAAGATCTGAAAACATTTTAACAGTGCGAGCCCTGTGGTGTCGCTTGACAACATTATATATGAAAATGTCTTTGATAGTATTTCAGTATTATTTGTAATTTACCGACTACATTATTAAAATTATTATTGAAAACCACTGTTGATACCAGTTCAAACTTGCAAAAACTTAAAACTAGCACTCTGTTTGACAAAAGTATGTAACTCAACACCAGTTTTTATCTTATATCAAAAACTTTAAGTTTGCTATTATAATTAATAGTTAACCGAACTTACCTTCAAGAGATGTTTGACCATAATTATATGATATATTTCATCCGAAGAGATTTATATTCTTTACTATGTACTCCTTTTAAATCAAATCATAATCACTTATTCAGCAAGAACTTGTGAAAGTTGAAATTATGCCATCGATTCTAGAAAAAATAAATAATCCTAGCATGTAAAGAACACAGAAGAAATTAAACCATTGCACTGCTCTAGCAATAGAACTGTTCACACCATCATGAAATGGTCGTCCTCTTTTAATTTTAAAATAAGAGTGAAGTTATACTTCTCGGAATTGTTATCTGTGTGGGCTTCTCCCAACATATTACATACACTTGTTATGTATATTCATTACCAGTTTTACTCCTTGAACACTATTTTATAGACTTTATGCTTTGACCAGTCGGTATCTATTGTTTCTACTTTTTCATCTATAATAATAAAATAAACTCTTGAATTTTCTATCGACTAAGACGATTGCTTGTCAATATATTTTAAATTGGAAATAGTTAATTGTAAACCTTTCGTTTGTTAATTGAATATAATTGTTGAGTTTGTATTCGGAGTCATAACTTTACATCTATACTTTACATATGCAAACAATTCTATTTCGTGATTAAACCCTACCATTAGGAGGCAAGTTGTCTATATAAATTAAAAAAGAAGGGACCAAGCATTGAGACCTGTGGAACACCATGATCTATCGATTCAGGGGATTTCTTACCCACGAAACACGGAAAAGAGGTTTGTGTTCTTACCACTGATATGAACCTCCTGCACTGCCACTCAACTAAGAGACAGCAAAATCTAACTAGTTATCTCTAAATCCATAATATCAAGATTCGTGATAAATATTTCATGAACAACATAAATAAAAGCCTTAAATACGTCACAAAAAACACCTAAAACTTTGTGTATTCTCCCAGGCATCAAAAATTTCTTCCAAGATATTCCGAGATTCATGCCGACACTGGACTCATGCATCCGCGTGAGGTAAACCATAGCTAGTTTTTAACCTCCGACGCAAAAACGACGAGGTGTTATAAGTTTGACGTGTCTGTGTTCTGTGTGTGTGTGTATGTGTGTGTGAGTGTCTGTCTGTGGCATCATAGCTCCCGAAAGGATGAACCGATTTTGATTTTGTTTTTTTTGTTTGAAAGGTGTATTAGTCGGGAGTGTTCTTCACTATGTTTGATGAAAATCGATCCAAGATGGCCGCCGCCACAAAATGTTGGATTACCTACATATTTTGTCATGACTCCGAGAATACTATAGGTACACTATGACAAATAACAAATCCAAGATGGTCGCCATCATAAAAGTGCGAAATTATATAATAAGTACAGACAGCCACATGTCGGGTTACCACAATCTAACACTGAAAGAATTTTTCAAATCGGACCAGTAGTTACTGAGATTAGCGAGTTCAAGCAAGCAAAAAAACAAACAAGCTCTTCAGCTTTTTAATATTAGTATAGATTACCAATGAAAAGCGTGAAGTTATTTGAACTTATATTATTATACGGTAAGTTAGATTTAAATCGGTGTAGCTGTTTCAAATAAAGAAGGGAGGGGGAAGTAAAAGTGGAGATGACCAATGTTATTGCTATTTTAATAGAATTGAGTCCCATTTTAGACTAGATCTGAAATACCTAAGATAAATACCTAATTATATAACTATGAAATACTTGTACGAAAGTAGAAAAAATTAAAGTACTAGAAAAAGATAATCACCAAATTAACTGAATTACAACTTGCAATAAAATTAATCAAAAATGAAGGACTCTCTAAAAAAGCAAGAAAAAATAAATTGTTAAATTAAAAATTTTAAAAACCTCCGACACAATATAATAAAAAAAATAAAGTAAAAAGCTTAAAACAAATTAAAAAAACTATGAATTAATTGTCCACAAATAATGCAAAAAAAAGATAAACGTGAAACCCTTTAAAAAGAAAAAATAACCTTGACATTATGATCCTACATAATTACAGACAACAGCATGTCAGACTATTTCACTTTGAACTTTGCACTAATATTGAACTGCAAGTACCTTGACCTGCTGTTGACCGTACATATGAATTTTTTTTATTAAATGTTGTCGCGTTAGGGGACCGCTTACACTAACCTACCACTTTCAGGGTGGGATTACCCAGAGCCAGAGTCCTGATTAGACATTCTGAAGAGTTACCATTTTCTTTGAATCTCGAGCTTGTCCTTAACACCGTGCTTACATTTGAACTGAAGTGTAAAATTTACTGTAAAACGTTTACCGTAATTATGTCACAATAATCAATGTTGATTACCAAATTATTCACATCTAATTTCTTAATGACAACCTCAATCAGGAATAAAATTTACTAACATATTGGAGCGATTTTAAATTATTACGGTAACCATACGCCACAGGTTTCTGTCCGTGATGCCGTAAGAAGATTTAAAATTTTCTAGTTATCTTTTTTTTTATGGGATTGGGGGCAGACGAACAGACGGATCACCTAATGGTAAGTGATTACCGTCGCCCATGGACACCTGCAACATCATAGGGGCTACAAGCGCGCTGCCGGCCTTTGAGGGACAGGGAGGGAAGGGCGGGTTGGGCCTCCTCCCTCACTCACACGACGAAACACAACGCAAGCGTTGCTTCACGTCGGTTTTCTGTGTGGCCGTGGTATCACTCCGGTCGAGCCGGCCCATTCATGCCGAAGCGTTGCTCTCCCACGGTTTAGATGTTTTATTATAATGTTTTATAATAAATAAATTTACCAGTATCTTCGCGAGGTTCGCCACTCGGCCGTCAGGTAGCTTATATGTATCTCAGAAAATATAATAATTTAAAATATAACAAATAATAAGTATTTCATCTGTATTTAACCAAAATTCGGACTGTGCAGTTTCAAAAACCATTCTAATAAAATTAGAAGTATCGATGATCACGCTCTCTCTACAATCGAGGAATTAAGTAAGCGAGTAACTAGCAATTAAAATAAAAGAAACTAAATCAAACGATCTTCGTAAAGATGATGCGACATATATATCGGGTTGGCACAAAAGTAATGAGACACTTGGTTTAAGTTTTTACTTTTTTATTATTATTACAATAAAAAAAGTTTAGTCAATGATGTAATTACCATTAGTATCTAAGACTTCTTGCCAACGATCCGGCAAAGTTTGGATGCCTTTTGCCCAGATCTCTGATGGCTGTGCCTCGAAAAAGTTGTTCAACTCCGCCTCTACATCAGAGAAATCATTAAATTGTTTACCCCGCAAATGCTGTTTCAGGGCTCTAAACAAATGATAGTCTGATGGGGCGAGGTCTGGGGAATAAGGTGGGTGGGGTATCGTCTCCCAGCCCAAATTCTCCAACTGCCGGCGAACCACAGATGCGACGTGAGGTCGAGCGTTATAGTGCAGTAAAACTACATTGACTCGTCTTCGTCGTTTTTTCTTGATAGCGGCAGATAATTTGGTAAGCTGGGTTGAATATTTGTCAGCGTTTATAGTTTCATTGTGTAATAGCTCATATAACAGTATGCCTTGCGCATCCCAGAAACAGCAAAGCAGAATTTTTCGGCGGTTCTTTTGACTCAGCTTCGGTTGAGTTGGTGGCGTTTCTTCTCGAGGCAGCCAAAAAGCACGACGTGTATCGTTCTCGTAATAAATCCATGATTCATCTCCAGTAACCAGATCTGACAAAAACTCTTTACGTCGGGGTCGCAGCAAAAGTGACTGACAGATAGTGACACGGACTGCACGACTGGCGTCTGTAAGGATGTGCGGTACCCACCGAGCCAAAACTTTTCGATAACCAAGCTCATGCAGATGGTGTTCCACGACGTGGTGACTGCATTTAAGTGCTTCCGCTAATTCACGAGTGGTAGCATCCGGATTCAACTGCAGTTCGCGGCGCAAATCGTCATCATTCACTGCGGGTGGTCGCCCTGAGCGTGGCTGACTTTCAAGGCTCCTGTCTCCTGATTTAAAACGGTCAAACCATCGGGACACCGTCGCATGGCTTGTACTTCCAGCGCCTAATGCATTGTTGATATTGTCAGCTGCAACCCGCGCACTGTGGCCTAACAAGTACTCGTATAAGTATAGTGTTCGAACTTGTCGCTCGTCCATTTTTCTTTAAAACTGACTAAACAAATCGCGAGCGCGGCTTTATATACCCTACACCAGAAGTACCTAGAATGTTCTACAACATTCTAGAATATTATCGAAAAAATTGATTTTAAAAAGGAAATGTTATAGATTTTTCTAGTGTGTCTCATTACTTTTGTGCCAACCCAATATGTAGTTATATTTTTATGATATATATTTAATTTTATATTTTATGTGAATATTGCTCGAGCAATTTTAAATTAAGAAATGAAAACTAGAAATTAAGATAGAGCACTCTATTTTATCTTATTCTAAGTAAAG